CTTAAGTTGAATGGGTTTTCCACCCTTGAGGAATCCAGTCCGAATCTCAGGCCCCTACGAAAAGTGGAAGTAACAAGCGCTCAGTTTCAAAATGTGGAAAGTGGAACATTATTGTAGACCAGACCATCTTTAATTGTTGTTAGAGTTTGTTAGAATGTGGATTAACAATTTTTTATATACTAAAACTTGCTGTCATATGTAGGCTCTTTCCACCTGTAGAGCCAGCATGTGGATTCAACTTAAGATTGAGAGGATTGTGATTGCAAGAAATTGAACGTGGGATCTAATGCTCCGATACCATAATGTAGTAGTTTGCTTTCTAACAGTTATATATATTTTAGTAGAGGCACGAACTTAATCTTGTAGCAATTCTTTCAGTTGTAATAGTGACCAAGCCTACCCAGTGTTGTTTCTCTCAGAAACATGGGACAGAAATAAAACAACTTTCAACCGTTTACTGATATAGACCACTTATCTCAAGAGGATGTGAATAGTGAACTACATGAATCAGCCAAATGATATTGGTAGAGGCTCAGAAGCTAAATTCTGGAGCAAGGAACTGGAAGATATGCAACCCTTAAAACCATGTGTGGGCATCGAGGCCCAGGTGATAAATATTCATATTCATGTATCCATTCCATTGGAGTAGAGTGGAGTAGAGTAGGAAAAAGGTATCATATATGGATAATAATAGGACAAACACAAGAGTCGAATTGGATAATAACTAAGAAGAGGATAATTAAGACTAATGGTGAATAACACAGAGAGACAATTAGACAAGGCTATTTATTTATTTATTCCTTCATTCATTCCAGTAGTTCACCAGAAAGCAAAGCGGGAACACAAAAACAAACAAACAAAAACAAGAGTAGGATGAAAATTACACAAGTGAGGGTATATATATGTAGCTGCAGAAGTATGTATGTATAGGAAAGTGAAATCGAGAAATTAATTAGGAAATAGAGAGATAGATAGGGACCTTTGTATCGAGCATGACGGCGCAGAGGATCTGAGTGTTGTGCATGGCAGTGCGGAGATTGTCGAGGGTCTCCTGGTGGTAGTCGTGGGTGCCGTGAGAGAAGTTGAAGCGGGCGACGTTCATGCCAGCCCTTAGAAGCTTCTCGACCATGGGGACGGAGCGGGAAGAAGGGCCCAGGGTGCAAACGATCTTGGTCTTGGGGATGCGGCCGTCTTTGGGGAGCTCCTTGAGTATTCCTTCTATGTCTATGTTGGCCATGCTTTGAAATCTGAATTTGATTGACTTTCTTCTCTTCTTTTCTCAGCTAGATAAGATAGATAGATCTTGGATCGATGATGATGATGATGATGATGATGATGATTTTATCTTCCGATTCGAAGTCGATTCAAGTCGATTCTGAGCTGAGATTGATTAGCAATTAGCAGCACACAAACAAAACAAAACAAAACAAAGGAAGCCCTTCTCTCTCGGATTTCTACCTTCAAATTCGTAAAATAAAAAACAAAAAAAATAAACAAACAAACAAACAAACAAACAAACAACAAATAAGAAGTAGCAAGGTTACCAGCTTAGTTACCAAGCCTTGCTCGTGGCGGCGGGGGCAGCTGGTGTGACAGTAGCAGTAGTAGTACGGAGGAGGAGGGAACAGTAAAGTTGAAGAGAGGAGGCAATCACAAATCCGAGTGAGCAGTTGGGGAGACTGTCTGTCTTTTGGTGAAAGAGTAAAGTAAACAGTGGGCTTAGAAACTAGTGGACTAGACCGGACGTGAAAGAGTAATGTAAACAGTGGGCAACTTTGAAACCGGTGGACCCCACTAAGATGACAAAAATATGCTCAATTTTTATTAAATCATTTTGGCCTATTTTTTATTAAACTGAGAATAATTTTGTCATTTTAATATTTATTTAACATAACTATTCATTGAATGACCAAAATGATTGATAGTGGACAACTTTAGAGCAACTCCAGCGTTGCTGGTTGCTCGGGAGACAGGCAAGGAGAAAGGGCCCGACGGCCGGGGGATGGGGCTCCAGCGTTGCTGGTTGCTCAGGGGACAGGCGAGGAGAAAGGGCCCGAGCGACAGGCCTGGCGGGGATTGCCAGCCCGAGAGCCTGAGGGCTGTGTGACGTATGGCTGATGTGCGACATCGGTGCATGCGCTCGGTGTTCTCTGCGTCCTCCTTCCTCCTTCCTCCTCGTCCTCCTTCCCCTCCTCGTCCTCTTTCCCCTCCAGCTTTGACGAGGATAATAACGAATCTGGGCCGTTCGATGGAGAGCACAAAATCGTGAGGGTTGTAGACGGAGATCGGAAACCCTTTCTCGGCGATGTTGAGGGCGAGATTTTGCCCCATGACTGCGAGGCCTGCCAAGCCTATGTGCGACAGAGCTGGTGAAGCTTCCATGGATGCTGCTGTGAGAGAGAGAAAGAGAGAGTGAGTGAGAGAGAGAGAGAGAGAGAGGACCGGTCAAAATTAGGGAAAAATAATAATATTTTATGGATTGGGTGAGAAAAAAAATATTAATATTTTATTACTAATTGCCAGGGGGAAGGGTTCCAATGGTGGAAATGCAAATGACAATTACTATTTATTAAGGGCTGTTACTGTTCACTAAGTGGATTGAATAGTGGATTGCCAGGGGGAGGGCTCCAAGGGTGGAGTTGCTCTTAGGGACCACTTGTATTGATTTCAAATCTCAGAGAACAAAGTAAAAATTATGCAAATCTGGTGGACCATTTTGACTAAAAAAGCCTTAATTTTTTCATAGAGAAAGAAAGACAAAAATGAAAGTGAGAGGAGATGAGGGGATTATGAGAGGAAATAATTTTATTCCATAAATAAAGGGGTATTTTGATATGGGTCCAAAGTAATTAAAAATTGGACCTATTTCAAAAGTAGGCCTATAAAATTGGACCTATTTCAAATTTTCCCTAAATAGAAACTCATCCGAAGAAAATAAGAGACTCAATCGAACATTTTGAGAAAATAACAAGGAGAGCATTGGCCTAATAAAATACTAGCATTTGCCTACGCACTTTGTGTGTATGAACACATTTTTTTAGAAAATGAGAATGAGAGAGGGAGAAAGAGAACATGAGGGAGTTGGAGGTTTTTGTTTTTGTTTTTTTATTTTTTGTTTTTTTTATAAATATTGGAGGTATTTTAACATTACATGTAGGTGATGTTTCAATAAAAAAAAGTAAATTTTGGACCTATGAAATTACATTATTGCCCATCATTTTTTTTGTGTGATAGAAGACTAATTTGTTTTTTCACCTTCTTTTAGTTGACAAAGAGGGTTTTATTAATTAGTAGAGATTATTCTTACTATCTATTTGTATCATCTTTTTAATAAAGATGAAACCTATATGTATTAGTGAGTCACACCTCTATTTTAGAGATTGTAAACGTAACATTACTCTTGGCCCAAAAACCTCTCATTCATTCAGCATTATCCATTTTTAGGGTGTATTAAATTGGGATTTTGAGAAATTTTAGTGGATTTATAAATTCATGAATTTTTATAGAGTTTAATTGATTTGTAGAGATTCCATGTAAAATTTTGATTAATACACTACGAAATCTCTCAAATTCCTTTTAGGGGGGGTGTATTCAATTGGGATTTTGAAGGATTTTAATTCTTTTAATGAATCAAGAGGTATCAAATCAGAATTTTAAGTGATTCTCTAAAATTCAATGCGTATTCAATTAGGATATAGTTTATTAAAATTTTTAGAAATCCGGGTGTATTCAATTAGAATTTTAAAGAAGTTTATAACGTTTCAGATATATTCAATTATAATTTGAATTTAAAGAATTTGGAGAAGTTGAGGAATTAGAAGAAATTGGAGAGATTTTGTAGTGTATTTTAAGCATCCACAAATCTCACATATCCCCATGAGATTTCGAGAGAATTGAATCAAAGTTTTACATGAAATCTCTACAAATCAATTAAACTCCATAAAAATTCATGGATTTACAAATTCATTAAAATCTCTCAAATTTCTAATTAAATACACCCCCTTAATTCCTCAACTTTTTCAAATTCTTTAAAATCAAATTCTAATTGAATACACCTAGAATGTTATAAATTTCTTTAAAATCTTAATTGAATACACCTGAATTTCTAAGGATTTTAATAAACTATTTTAAAATCCTGATTGAATACACATTGAATTTCAGAGAATAACTTAGGGCTCGTTTGATATCCTACCCAAAAACTTTGATTGTTCCTAAAAATAATTTTCAAATAACATCACTTAAAAACATTTTTCTTTTAAATCTCAAAATTTCAAAAATCTATTTGGTTGAGTTTTTAAAAATAAATTTTTTAGTTTGAATTCAAATTACCTTGAGCATAAACTGAATGAGAGAGAGAATTGGGAAAAATGAGAGAGGAAATAGTTGACGAGGAGAGAGAAAGACAAGGAGAGAGCTAGGAGGTGAGGGAGAGAGCAAAAAATTACGATGAGAAGGTGAGGAATGAGAAGAAAGAGGGTGATGAGACAAAGGCTGAGGAGAGAGAGAAGACTGGATGTGACGTGGGGAAAGAGGAAAGAGAGGGTTGGGAGAGAAAAAAGAAGGGATGTGATATCCACACACCCTTTTTTACTTCTCACACACCCTTCTAATTTTGGACCGTCGGATCGAATGAATTGAAGAAGATCAACGGACAGAAATTAACAAAGGGTGTGTGAGAAGTAAAAAGGGGTGTGTGGATAGCACACCCCAAAAAGAAAGGGTTAGGGGAGAGCAAAAAAAAAATGCTAAGGAAAAAGCAGAAAAAACTCTAAAAACTCATTTTTAATGTTTTTAAGAAATAGTCTATGTTTTTATGTTAGTTTTGAATCCAATTTTTTAAAAAAGTTCTACCAAACAAGAATTCAACGCCTAAAACTCAATAAGTGTTTTTCAGTTTAAAAAATTGAACTTAAGTAGGATACCAAACAAGCCCTTAAATTCCTGATTGAATACCCCAATATTCATTAAAAGAATAAAAATCCCTTAAAATCTCAATTGAATACTAAGCAAAAGCAACTGCAACTGCAAGCAAATGTTCACCACAGCAGCTACCATCGTCATCGTCCTCTCTTTCCTCTCCTAATTTGAATTGAAATGTTAACAGAATATGGGAAAATCTTGATTCCGACTCCAACATGTGTTATTATCTCCCACTACGTTTAACAAACAAATGATTGTGGCACATCAACATTCTCAATTGAACCAAAATACCAAAATTTGTATATATATAGCAGACCTAGGAAATTCAGACCCTCTAAAAATGTATGGCCATCCGCTCATTGCAATCATAACTTTTCCCCATTTTTAGCTGTTCATGCAGCCACCAACTTATTGTCGTTTTGGTAGCCATCCGTATTGAAGTCCATAAGTTACTGAGGTACGCCAATAGAGCTGTTAGCCATTTCTCTGATCATTGTTTTAACAAACAGTTCCCCTGCCCTATACGAGGACCGGACCTGAAAAATTAATAGATGCAAAGATTTTTTCACCAAGAATGGTAAACTAGGTAACTGCATTCAAACAAGAATAGCAAAGAAAGATAATCCACAACATCTATAAAACTGACGTTAATGAACATCTTACCAAGGGCCCACTGGCTACATAACGAAATCCAATAGACTCCCCATATTCCTTCCATAAAACGAATTTCTCAGGGGCAACATATTCTTTGACAGCCAAATGTAATGGAGTTGGCTGCAACAATTTTAAGCAACTTAAAATCATAATCTTTATCACAAAATTCTACTGGGATATAACTTAGTCTCATTTCATGATTGCCTCAGAAACAGTAAAAGAGGATTGCTTATGGAAAATAAAAACTACCATGGGCCAGATTACAGCCATTCTTCAAGCATACAACAAGAATTAGACTGTCAAAAATCCAAGTCCAACCTTGGACACTCAAACAAAACGACACCAGCCTTACGGTCTGTAAGTTCCAATGTATTTGCATGAAAGTAATCAAAGCTAAATACATGAAAGCTATGCATCTTTAACCAACCTGTAAATATTGTCCAAGTGTCAATATATCAACATCTATAGCCCTTAAATCAGCCATGGCTTCCTTCAGCTCATCGTCTGTTTCTCCCAGGCCCAACATTATAGAAGTTTTTGTTATCATCCCCTTCTTGCTTTGTTTTGCATGTCTTAGAACAGATAAGCTTTGCTCATACCTGCATTACCACATTAAACAAACTTCTTCAGCCCATTGACTTCAGTTCCTAGTATACGACAAATACATACAAAGCCTGGACAAGTATTGTTATGGTCCTTTTTAGCTATCATTTGTGTGACTTACCTTTTGTTATGATACTGTTACCTGAAGTACATGAAAGTTTAATCCTAGGTGGATATTGTATCGTTGAATGTTATGTTAAACTTGGAGCATGCATAGCACATATGTGTCAAGGCCATATTTCCAAACATGATTTTATGAGAGAAATATGGTATGCATGTAAATGATTTAAAAAATATGTTTGTACAAAAACTGATGCACGTCATATGGTGCAATCATCTGGGTCGGACCACTTATGCACTTCTGTACGAAATACATAACCGAAAGACTTTGGATCGGGAGTGCAGCTAGCTTACCCAGCGCGAGGGTCTCTGACAATTCGCTGGAGGCGTTTGACAGTCTCAATGTTGTGTGCAAAAACATCAAGTCCAGAGTAAAGCAGAGTGTGTACAGCCGTCAAGTCACCGCGAAAGTCTGAAGTTAAACACTCAACCATGATGTCAGGCTTGAGAGTCTGCAGAGTCAAGTGAGTGTGTAAAACATTGTATTGTTGTATTGTATTGATGAATGTAAGAAATGATTATTATTAATATTATTATTATGTAAGAAAGAAGTTGTCGATTTTGCAATGCTCTATATGCTCGTCTGAGAGTCTTTATGTTATGTTAAAAGCTAGGTCATCAGACATGATATAATGCATTCAATCAATCAAAGTAGTGAAATTGAAGCAAGCAAGCTGATTAGTTAGCAACCAACCAACCTTGAGGGTTTGGACGGTGCGAGCAAAATGTCCGCTTCCACCGTCGGCCAGGTCATCGCGGTCGACACTGGTTAAAACAATATAATCGACGCCCCAGCTGGCAACGGCGGTGGCAGTGTGAAGAGGCTCCATGGGATCTGGAGGTGGAGGGGTCCTGCTGGTCTTGACGGCACAGAAGCGACAGCCGCGGGTGCAGGTGTCGCCGAGGAGCATGATGGTGGCAGTGGAAATGCCATCGCCACCTCCATTCCAACACTCGCCGATGTTAGGGCACTGGGCCTCCTCGCACACCGTCTTGAGATTCAGACGGGACAAGGACTCCTTGACCTCCTCGTACTTGTGTCCCTGGGGGGCTTTCTGCCTTAGCCATTCCGCCTTCTTCACATTTGGGTCTCTCCCCGTGTAAGGCCCCATTCCCGTTCCCGTTCCCGCCGCCACCGCTTCACATCGTATTCCTCGTCGTCGTCCTCCTGATCGCACATTCAAGGCAGACATCCGGCCTTTCGGAGCCTCAATCGGGATTGGGCTGATTGGCCAAAATGATGATGAAACTTGGGATTGCAGCTGAATCATCATCGTCGTCTTCGATTCCTCCTCAATTTCCTGTCTAGAATACCTAGATTTCTACAACCCACCAATCTAATCCAATCCAGGAGCTTAGGAGTTTGGACTTACCACTCTGCAACTGCAAATACAAGGTCCAGGTGTGGAAGAGGAGGGAGAGCTTGTCATACCTGAAGGCGCGCTCCAGTGCATTGCTCTTGCAATCCAGGAGGAGGGAGAGTTTCCCCGTCGATCTAAAAAATATTTCAGCACAAATGACGGAAATTACGAGGGGGAGCAAGATTACAAGAGGAACCCCACTCCAACACCGATACTCTCATCAATTTTACCACATGTCCAATATGTCCAATTTGTTAGGTGTTAGGTATTACCGCAAAATGATTTTAACACTCCTTTAACATTTCTCCTCATGTGTAATCTCATTTAGTGGTTCATACAGTAGAGATCTATACATTGGTAATTGAAACTCAGAAGTTGACTCGTGATTCACACGTGGAGATCCACACATCGGCGGCAATTGAAACTAACCAGTAACTCTGTATATCCATTTAAGTTTCGTTAAGCAGGATCTAATGTATAACAATAACATATTTGTATTATCTCATTTTATTGACATTAAGTTGTGAATTAAGTGAAATTAACCAGTAACTCTGTATATTGAAAATTGGTATGGCCACAAGAATTTTATTACAGGTTTATGAAATTAAAGTCAAGCATTTGTATCCTAGTCTTAGCAGGTGGTGTTATTCTTATTTCTATCAATATTTCACTCACATTTTGAATTTGCTCATGATTGTAGAAATGCAAAACTTGGTTGTTTTGTATTTATGGTTTGTAGTTTTGATATTTCACATTCACTCTCATTTGGTTTTTTTTTATATTCTGGTTTTGCATGCTCTATTGCATCACGTTTTGTTTGCCTATTACTAATTTATTGGCTGTTTCTTTAAATAATTGTAGTTGGCTTGTAGTGTATATACATGTGTAACTGACTTATACAAAAATGTCAAAATGACTATTTGATTTAAAACCTTGGTTAAATATCCTAAATGTGGGGTTACATGCATGTTATTTTTTATTGATAGAGTTTTTCTTATTTGATTAAGACGATGATAATTATTTAACATTTGTCAAGAGAACTCAATGGACCTATGAATTTCATATTGAATAAAATATAATTAGAAATTATGGGGTTGTCTACTGACGCTCCGATTAGAAGATGCGACTATGGGACAGAGGTTCAGGGCCGAAGGGGTAGAGGAAGACCTAGGAAAACTTTGGAAGAGACTCTAAGAAAAGACTTAGAGTACTTGGATCTAACGGAGGACATGACACAGGACCGAGCACAATGGCGTTCAAAGATTCATATAGCCGATCCCACTCAGTGACTTGGATTTTCCAAGTCTCCAACCGAGAAGTTTTCCTTACTCGGGAAATTAAGGGAATACTACCTCAACCTACATGCTCCACTCACAAAGCTTCAACATACAAGCTTCAACAAAAGAAAATTCAGAGAACTTAGCGCATAAGGCTTTGGTGTATTCAACACAATACGTTGAAATGAAGGAAAGCTATTTATTGATATCCCTGATAAGTCACAAATATGTACATATACATGAGTCAAAATAAACAAACAAAAGGGAGCCTTCACAAAGGTTGCTTAGGAGAAGTCTCAGTAGTCGGTAGAGCCCCAGAAAGAGCAGGCACTGGAGGGGGATCATTTGGAGCCTCAGTACTGGACAGAACCCTAGAAGGAGGAGGCAGCAGAGGTTGATCATTTGGAGCTTCATTACGCGGTACAGCCCCAGAAGACGAAGGCAATAAATGCCTTTGGAACAAACCCACAAATCTCTGATGATCAAGTAAAACCTGACCATCAGATTCCTTCATCTGGTCAAGCTTCCTCTTCATGTTTGTAGCATAGTCATGTGCGAGCCGATGCAACTGTTTATTCTCATGCTTGAGCCCTCTAATCTCCTGTTTGAGACTCATCACTTCAGCCGCCAATGATTCAACTTGGCGGGTTCGAGCAAATAGGCGTTGGGCCATGTTAGACACAGAACCTGCACACTGAACACTGAGAGCCAGATAATCCTTAACCGCCAACTCATCAGACCGTTTGGAAAGTAGTCTGTTATCTTTAGGAGTGAGAAGGTTCCTGGCCACTACCGCAGCGGTCATATCATTCTTCATCACGGAATCCCCAACAGTAAGAGGACCAGTAGGGGAGACGAAGGATGGGCGCCATATGTTGTCTGGAGAAGGCGTGGCTGCCTCTTCAACAAGGTTCAAGTCAAAACGACGGTCGGAGGGGCCAGACATTTTCAAAGGTGTTGAAGAGAGAAGAGGTCGGACAAATCAAGATCTTAGAAGTGCAAGAATGGAGCTTCTACTGGTGGAGATTCAAGTGTGCTTTGGAACTTAATGTCAGCCTCTATAAAAATCTGCACTCGACGGAGCTTCAGAAATCGAAGAGGCGTTTGCTTTCTCAAAAGCTGGGCTGCTCAGAGACCACGAGACGTTTGCTTTCTCAAAAGTTGGGCTGCTCAAAAACCACGAAGGCCGATCTCAGAAATCGAAGAGGCGCTTGCTTTCTCAAAAGCTGGGCTGCTCAGAGACCACGAGGGCCGATCTCAGAAATCGAAGAGGCACCTACTTTTCCAGCCTTGTCAGCACCTGTCAGCTTTGCGGAAATTATGGGCATTATGTCGAAGATTTCTGGTGAAGTATAAAGCACATGAATCTTACTGTTCAATCACCCACTTCCCACACGCAACATTAGCTCATGGGTACCACAGATAACTTTGCCAAAGTTCTCTGACAAAGTTGAGACACGTGAAGCTTGCAGCTCCCACTACACCGCTCTGACCAAGAAGGGTAAAAGAATATCAAAGAAACAGCACTAACAAAGTTTAGACACATAAATTTTGAAGGTCTAGCTACCATATTATTACCCACAAGGGTAAAGGAATAGCATTACTACTTGTTGTTAGGGAGACTCCTATATATGTTGACCTTCATCCCTAACAGACAGGCAGACCTGCAAAAATGCTCAACCCTTCCTCATATCTGAGAGGGCACTCCCAAAGAAGCCTTTCGAAATATTCAGCTTTCTTTCCCCCCGATAATACCTCTGCAAACAAGCTATACTAGAGCAAGAATATCTCATATCATCAGGGTTAAAAGCAAGAGTATCCCATATCATGTTTTTTCCCTGTCTTTTCCTTTGGCCTTGTTCTTACCTACAAGACAAGGAGAAAGAGAGCAATCAGTCAGCACTTGGAATCAAGCTTCCAGTCAGGAACTGACTGCCTGGAACCCCTTACTTGATTACTTACCTGGCATTGCTCTCGAGTACTCATCTTCAACATCTTATGCTTCCAGGGAAGATACCGCATCTGCCTGAGGAACATATAGGGCAAGTGAGAAGGATACAAGGAAGCATGTGGAGACAAGCGTAACAGCACACGTTCCGATACATCCACTACTCTGTCAAAAGCAAAAGTATCCCATATCAGCAGGGTCGAACGTACTATAGATTTGATGGACTTGTTTTGACCCTCAAATTCTTCAGTCGGCCTTATACTCTGGAGGAAACCAGAAAACCCTCCAGCCCAGTTCAAGAATAAGCCTGTGGAAAGTTACTTCTTCAAAAGCAAAAGTATCCCATATCATCTCTTCTCATTTTTCTTCTTTTTATCCTTCATGCTGCCTGCAAGATAGGGAGAATGTGAACAATCAGCCGGAACTCGAAATCAAAGTTCTGATCTGGGACTGATTGCTTGGAGCTCTGATTGCTTACCTTGTCTGTCACCTCTTTCAGCAGATCCCCTAGCTCGGCGACTTGGAGGACTCCTACTACATGGTTTGTATCGCGTTTGACCAAGCCTGAAACTACAAGTAAGCTTCAAGTGAAATTGATACATTACCTTGTGCATCTCCACCAGTTAAAGATACCACCCCTGGATGGAGGAAGAGTACTTCCAGAGAAGATGCCACATCTACCTACGAGACAGATAAGGCAAGTCAAGACGATACCACACTCCGGAACTTAGAAGTTTCGTGATTACGAGATCATTCTCCCACAATATTTCCTAATGTCATTTGTACTAAATCATTCACTTGTACTCACTAAAAGAGAGCTTTAACCTATGTACTTGTGTAAACCCTTCACAATTAATGAGAACTCCTCTATTTCATGGACGTAGCCAATATGGGTGAACCACGTACATCTGGTGTTTGCTTTCCTATATCTATCCATTTATATACTTATCCAAACTAATGACCGGAGCAATCTAGCGACGATCACAAAAAGTGACCGTTTTCGCTACCTAGGATCTATCTTGCAAGAGAACGGAGAATTAGATGGAGATCTCAACCATAGAATACAAGCTGGATGGATGAAGTGTAAGAGTGCATCCGTCGTGTTGTGTGATCGTCGTAGGTCACTGAAGCTCAAGGGAAAATTCTATAGGACGGCAATAAGGCCAGCGATGTTGTATGGCACAGAATGTTGGACGGTGAAGCATCAACACGTACACAAAATGGGTGTAGCGGAGATAAGGATGCTTCGTGGGATGTTTCGTGGGATGTGTGGGTACACGAGAAAGGAGAAGATTGTGAATGAGGATATCCGAGGTAAAGTAGGAGTAGCCGAAGTTGAAGGACAGATGAGAGAAAATCGGTTACGGTGGTTTGGACATGTGCAAAGAAGGCCTACTGACGCTCCGGTTCGAAGATGTGACTATGGAACAGAGGTTCGGGGCGGAAGGGGTAGAGGAAGACCTAGGAAAACTTTGGAAGAGACCCTAAGAAAAGACTTAGAGTACTTGGATCTAACGGAGGACATGACACAAAACTGAGCGCAATGACGTTATAGGATTCATATAACCGACCCCACTTAATAAGAAAATGCTTTGTTGTTGTTGTTGTTGGTAAACTCTCAAAATCAGCTTTATTTCAAAGTTTTGAATGAAAATAAGCCCAAAACTTAAGCTGGAAATAACGGCTTCCAAAAACCAGCTTATGTTAAAAAACACGGGTGAACAGTACTCTTTAATGAATTTTTCAATAACGCAAAATTGCCTCATCCTTTCCTCACACTTTCAGAACACGCCGCTCGTATCAGCATGCCTCTCGCACCCAAACCAGAAAACTTCATTCCTGGCGATCTCTCTTGTTCTCCCAGCGATCTCTCTCGTTCTCCAGGTCACGTTCTCCGGCTCGGCGTCCTTCCTCTGGTAAGCTTCTCTTGTCTAAAATTTTGTTATTCATTTGTTTGGATTTATAAATTTGGGGATGGGAGAGTGAGAGTGAAAGAGGGGTGGGGGAAAAAGATTGGGGATGGAGGGTCGGGAACAAATTAATTGGGGAAGGTGATATGGTTTGTGGAAAAAATTAATTGGGAAAAAAATTAATTGGGGAAAAAATTAGGGTTTGTGGAAGGTCTGCTTCTGATTTATCTTAGGGTTTAGGTATATAAGAAAGGATGAAGCTCTGCTCTACTTCTGATTTGTCCTGCTACTGATCTGTGAACTCTGCTCTGCTTATTGGTGGATGCAGGTTTTTAATTATTTAAGCTTAGTGTATATGTTGTCTACTATAATTTCTCTTTTCGGGTTGATTTTGTGCATATGATCCATCTATCCTATCCTTATTGGGTTAAGGTTAGGCTACTCGAACAAGTGCCTAATCTTAAGCGCCTTCATGTGCAAAATTGGTTGTTCATAGTAATCTTTTTATATCTCTGTTATGATCAATTGTTGTTCATATTGTTTCGATTGTGGTTAACTTAAGGTGGTTTTGTTCTTCTTCTGTTGTGTATGCAAACTATGGAAAAAAGGTGAGATATGTGTAGCAATGTAGTTGGTATTGTGATTATGGGAAGTCTTCTCGTAGATTGGCTAAATTTGGATTTTTTTTTTTCGGACATGGTGGTATATCCATGTATTTTTGAATGAGACTCTCTTAGGAATTGAAAGAGATAAGAAATTAATAACATGAGAAAAAGTAAGGCCTTAATCCTAAAGAAAACACAAACTGCACACCAAAATAAATGAAAACTATGATTTGAATATACGTATGGATGGCGCAGGAGCAGGAGCATGGGGGGCATACCTCTGGATTTGTTCTAGATCAAACAACAACCTTTAGAAGGTTTCTCTGCATATCGGTTTAAGCCAAATATATTCTATTAGAGGGGCACCTCTATAGTTGTTTATATGTGTAAAGATCCATGATAATCCTTTAGAGTTAGATAAATATATTACACTGCTCAATTTGGGTAGCACCATAGCAGTATTGTCATGCAAATGTTTTACCTCAAGTATCTAAAGATGTTTGCTAACTAGAGGTCGCACTTGGTGTGATGGCAAGTGCCTTCGCCCATGAGCGGTAGGTCTCGGGTTCGAGACGTGGGAGCAGCCTCTCCATAAATAGGGGTAAGGCTAGCCGACATTCACCTCTCCCAGACCCTGCGTAAAGCGGGAGCCTTGTGCACTGGGTACTACTACCTATCTAAAGATGTTTGCTCTGTTGTCAATGTATTAAACTGCTCCCTGTCCAATGTGTTTGACATATGTTAAGTCAAGGAATAGACAAACTACAGCACAGTCATCTACATTGGAAGTTGGGTACTTCTGTCTCCACGCTCGAACTGCTGTCTCTACCAGTGCTCGAGCTGCAGAAGAACGTGCTCGGGCTGTTGTATAAATCTACCACTTCTTTTTTAGAGAGGACATCCCAAATCTGCCAAGAAAGTTTTAATCTTAGATTCCAAGAGCACGAGGAATAAGAGGGGGAAAAGGAAAGGAAATGTTATATATATCTTTTGTAAGTAGCATAAATTAGCTGGCTACGCACCCCATCAGTAGCCAGGACTATAAATTCATCCCTCTCTGTGAGACGCCAATAGGATACATCTAGTAAGCAAACCACAGTTGACCATAGTATGCATTCCTTGTATACTATTGCAGGTAGATGAAAGCCATTATCCAATGTACAAGGAAAATTCACTCTCTAAAATTTATGAGAAGTTATTTCTAATATTTCTGGCCCCAAGACCTGTCATTGAACTGGAGCATCCAGTACGCAGGTGTTGTATCAGTTACTTCAGACATTTATCTTTTTCTTTGTTGGGAAAATATGAATTTACGGTCTTTGCTGAATGTTGGTGTGGCATAAGACTTCTAGCATTGAGTATTTATGTGTGTTTAGGCGTTTCCAGCCCCTTCGTATATTTACTTTAGCTCACACTACACTGTTGTAGACCTTTCTAATGCTAAAGTTTTTTCTTGGTGTATTTTTCCCCCTAATGTTAAAGGGCATATCATGCATTACTTACGAGAAAACAACACACGATGCCCTGTTGCAGGTATATTTATTTTTTGTTCCCCTACATCAGTTGGACTTATACTTTGGTGAGATTGCTAAACCCTTTTGCTTTTTCCTCCTATCAGCTTGCCCTGCGAAATTGAAGTCAAATAAAGTGAAGGATGATCCACTGTTAGCCGCTGATATTGATGAATTGCGTAAAACGCAGAATCAGAATGTCACGGCTGATGTGATGGACATCACTGAGTTTGAAGAGTGATTGGATGATTTCGGGATGTGAAAAGTTTCTAAAATGACATTTCAGCTTTAGCTATTTCAACATGCTTTTAGGTCGTTGTGAAGTAGTCGTGTATTCTGTAGAATGGTTTTGTATAGAGTGACCTGATTTTATGATTTTGCATATGTAGTACTAGTAGTTGAAAGCACTTCCAGTTCATTCTCTCTGTTGAATTCTTTTAGACTGCATTTAGACAAGTGCGTTAACATGAGGCATTTAGTTGGATTTCCTAATTCAAATTGTATTGGATAAATCTCATTATTCTATATTTGAAGTGGTTTAGAGAGTAACTGTGAAAGAACCCGTTAACCTAGTTGTACAATGAACAAAGTTGGAACTCACAACTTCTATGGGCCGTGCCAATAGGAAATAGAATAGCGGTAAGTTTGTCATACTAATTAATATTTAAGATAAAGTTTAAATATTTTGCTTTTAAAAATAACGTATATTTTGTAATTCACCTTTATTTGTTAAGAAAATTAAATTAATGGCACATATAGTATTATACCCTTTTTGGTCATTTCACATAGTCATAGCTGTTTTACATAAAAGTTTACCAAACACTGTAATACTGTTTTTTTTTTTTCCAAAAGCACTTTTACAAAAAAGTTTTCCAAACACTCTGCTGTTTTATTTTACAACTGATTATTCTCACAGCACAACAAAATTTTTTTTTTTTAAAGCACAGCAATACCAAACTAGCCCTAGACTAGTTTTCGAAAGTCAATCAAATCCAATCATGATGAAAGGTTTGTAGAAATTCACATTTTTGCGATATGACTATCTACTTTAAGGTATGTGATTATTCCTGTATTTATTTGAGACTTTCCTAAATTTGTGGGGTGGTCATAGGAGCAAGTTTTGCATAATAATATTAATTTACTAACACTTCATGTGTGGCAATTATACGTTATAGTGTTCATATATAACGGATATGATTTCAATTCCTTACCAATGCACTAACAATAATATTATTAGCAAGTATGGCAAACGGGCTACGACAGAAGGCTTTATATCCTTTGGATACGTACTAGTTTCAAACTTGGTGCAAAAGCCACTATTGGCCTTGAGAATACTATATAAATTGTGGGGGTTTGCAACTTATTAGTACCTAAACCATTATTAATTCTATAAGCTTTCTACTGAACCCAAAAGATACGTAGAGTATCCTAGCTTGCAGTCATGATCTGATGTCAACAACACCCATTTGAAATATGTATATAACTAGAATAAAACATGTCATTGCCTCTTCTTCCTTCATTTGTCTCTTTGGCTGCTATGCTGCTTCTACTATTCCAGTAAATTTTATTTAGACAATTTCTTATAACTATTGGCATATGATATAATCTTCTTTTGCATTAGCTTTACCCGTGTGATATAGCATGGTATGCATTTAATTCAGTTTTTACTCTCAATTTGTATTCGGTTTATAATGATCATCAAAGATGTATCTTAATTATTAAATGAGTTATGATGGCGTGCCATTGCTAATTGGCCATTACTGCTTACTCATAATTTTTATTCGTGTTTTGACATTTACCAGCATGCTATAATATCTATGAGATATTGTTGAATACTTGCAAATTATTATTTTTATATCTTCAACTTGTGGGGTGGAGAGTCCCTTCACGGAAAAGTTTTTTTGCAGATGGTGACATACTAGAAAAATGTGGGGGTATATCTCAGCACAAGGGATTGGAAAGTTATATTCTGGGTACAAAACACATAAGAGGTAGTCTTGATTAATGACTGATGTGTGACATGCAGGTTGAAGAGTTTAGGCTAATTAAGTGCCTAAACCTGTTTGAGTTTTTCAATTATTTATGGGAAAGACCATTGTATATCCCCCTTTACGGAAGATGTCAAGTTTATCTAAGTCTGTATAGTGATAGCCTAGGGATAGCTTGAGCCAAATATGAATTTATTTAGGGAAACGCATCCTCTCCGGATCCCTTTTCACCTAGTCCGGGATCCGGGCCGTTGAAAATTTGATCCAACGGTTACAAACAAGAGGCCCCTTTAAAAGTAATAATAAATGTAGCCGTTGGATCATTCTAACGGTTCGAATCCTGAACTAGGTGAATTTGGTTTAAAGGAATTCGAAGAAGATCCCTTTCCTTTATTTAGCATATGCATATGCACTTGTCATAATTAATTTGATTCTTCCCTCTTTCTTATTTTCTACAAATAGGGCTAAGAGAATAAGACAGGTTACATTTCAAATTGACTAATTCGCATATTTCCTCATTGGTTTTTATGGCTGCTATATTGTTTTCCACAATGTCAATACAATTTAATTAAGAAACAATATAGATATGTAAATTTTATAGCATTTTAAATTGTGGGGGGCTTTCCATTTCAATTTTGCTTGGAGGAATTAAATTAGATGCTTTGTACGATTATTAGTATTATAAATGAGCTTTACCATACATCTTTTAGATGTAATCACTAATGAGTTTGTTCAAGTGAAATTCAGGACATCAATGAAAATTGTTGGGGTTGGAGGAGAGCCCGGTATGCTGGATAAACTTTGACGTACTTGAAAATGTGGGAGTATGCTAAGTTTTTTATTTGGGCAGGTGTACCGAAAGTTCCATTGACCATTCCAAAGGCATATTCTGAATGCTAAATAATTTGAGGTACTATATAGTTTATATTAATTAGAAATGAATGGTAATTTTTTTTTTTTTTTAAACAGCTTATGGTAACGTTATACGTGCAAATGCCATATTATGTTGAGAAGTCATGCTTGGGAGAGACAGCTTAAATAGATATGCAGGTGCACCTTGGATTGGAACATGAGTTGACACTCATTTGGAAAAAGATATTTGGTGAGGCTTAACAACATTTTTGTTATATCCCAATTTATATGGACGTGACCCTGTATTTGGTTGAGAGATATCCCACTATTGTGGAAGACAACAATGTGTTTGGTTTGAGGTATCCCACTAATTGTGGAAGAGACTATAAATTTATCTGTGTCTGTGTGGCGATAGCCTAGCTATAAGAGCTTGAGTTAAATATAAATTTATTTTGCATATATGCATTTGACATAATATGTTTGAGGTCAGAAATGGATCTAGCTAATCCTCTTACAAATCCACTAAACTAAATGCTAGTGATGATTATTACATCGAGGGGGATGAGACGTATGCCTATAACATCAATCAAGAGTGATGGTAACCCAACCAATGTGAGTGGAGACCCCAAGAAGTAGGTTCATATGGGTAAGAACAAGTCACTTGTTGATTGGGCGTGCTTTATCAATTTATATCAATAACTCTATTGAGAGTCTATCCATGTGGTGTAGAGAGTGCAACTACAGTAGCTTGTGATGTTAAACTTATGTTCTTAATGAATACCATAACGTATATATACTTGGTGTGCTTGACTACAGTGCACATTTGATGGATTCACCTATTTGAGTGTGGGAGTGGGGCCGTTTCCTATGAGAGTTTAGGCAGGTTCTCTAGAGCATTTATGAATACCCAGGTGGGCGCATGGCCTATTCGCGCCAACCCGCTGAACATGCTCGATTCCGAGGATTCAATGTGGATGGTTAGTCCTATGATTCACGCAAAGAAATATTGATTAATAGAAAAGTTAATTTTCACCAAATTTCTGTGAGTTACGCCTAACTCGTCCTAAGGCTTGTTCATAGTCCAAAAGATATCAGTACTGACGTGTTGGATTCTCACTTTCCTTTGGTACTTCCTTGTCCTCTTTAAACTTGTGTTTCTCAAATTCCTTTTGGTGATTCGATTTGTATTTTGTAATATGTGGGGGATTGTTGAAATTTTTAATTGGGTATTTCAAAATACAACTCTTCATTAGTAACTTTAATATTATTCAATTTGTTTAGAAGTCTTTATTTCAGTTTTTTATTAGTAAAACTAAAAACTGAAGCATTAACTAATTTATAATCGTTGTGGCTATAATGTCCAACGTTCTAGACCTTGTTAAATGGCCTTCATGTATAGCCTATTTGTCCTATATATAATATCATCCTCTCTTTGAGGCAAAGGTGATTTTTTGTGGAGTAATCATCTCTTTCCTTCAACGGACAAACCACACCTAGTTAAAAACAGTCCCACCATCTTCTCCTCTCCTAATCTCTCATATTATCTCAAATGCTATTATAATTTCCACCTTTTATATGTTAAAAGAAAGAATCGAGTTGTTCACTCGATTCAAATATTGCGAGTGTACGCTTACAAAGATCATAGATTGTTGTATTCTGGAGAGTAGGGCACCATAATCTGCTACACCAAGACATTGTCTTAGAGGGGTAAAGTCTACTCTTAAAGACAATGACTACACGTTTCAACCTAAAATCTTGTCTAATCAAGGATCGACGAAGAACGTTCTATAACTACAAAAGATAAGTATTTTATCTTATTTGGTTATTTTATTTAATAAAATTGTGGTGAGAAAATTGTGATATCCTAATATTAATTTTATAGGATTTGTTGTAAGAGAAGTAACATCCGAATTGCCAATATTTCCAACAATTGATATAACTAGAAAGATAATGACATGCCCACTAAAAGCTCGACTTAATGCCTTGAGGAAAACACTGAAAATTAAGATATTGCGTGCACTTGGATTATTTATACTAAGACTCCACAATGTCAAAATCTTTAGATCAGCCAATCTAAACTTGTTATAAAGTGGAGCAATAGCTCTTTTGCTAACTCTGTTGGAACTTTCACTCATTTTTTGCCCTTTAAACCCTTTTATTTAGAATGGAGAATCTAACAGAATTAGCCCAAGGAATCATTGATCTATATTATAACAAGTTCAAAAAACATAAATCAAAGCTCCAATTGGACCACAGTTTAAGAACAATTACTCCAATTTCTCTATAGATATAGATGATACACGTACAGTATGAAATCCGTACCATAAACCCAATAAAAACAGCCGAAAGTGCAAATTCGAGTAAACTACAGACCCTCTTTCTTTTGTCAAGAAACTAAGCATTTAATTACCAAAATTACAACTGCATGGCAAAGTACAAATTAGAAAAATTACGAATATTTGAATGTAGCATCGCCTTATTAGAGGTTACTGAGTTGGCCTAGTAATGTGGGTGGGTAAAAATAAGATGATGATTATGAATAGGCTACTCCATGATTCGAAACTTGAAATGTAACCGTAAAGAATAGAAAGTGAAAGTTCGAAGGTATTCAACCCATTATTGAAAGTTTATTTAACACAAAGGACCCCCAAACTTGTTTGACGCATTGCTGGGAAGGGATATATCCACCGTCGAAGCTTTAGCGTTCGGCTTCACCAGTATTGCATGGCTTTTTTTTTTGTCTTTCACAGATCGAATACCTTCGAACGGTAGAGATTACAGTCATTATGGACGGTAGAGATTACAGTCAACTCCACGAAGTTGGACTGCAGGTCGATGATGTGTGCCCAAGCAACTTGTACATCGCCACCTCATATTACTCCATCTCCACATATATCAGTAATTTCTCAGTACATAAATCCAACTAGTGTCATATTTAAAAGTGAAGTTTAAACAAAACTTTGACAAAATTTGAACTCATGCTGTGCTGCAACCAAAAAATTTCCACATGATCATGAAACAAATGAGAACACGTCTATAAGGCGCGCCTTTGAGGTACTAACAAGCCCTCCCTCCTCCTTCACAACTTTACTTTTCCGTGCCAAACAAAATGGATGTGGTGCATGTGAATCAAGGAGAGCCCCGGCCAGAATCATCTGAATCTGAACCATCAACCATCTTTTCTAACGAATCTATGTCCACTGCTTCAGAAAGCGTATGTATCCGTAATTTATCTGCATCTTCACTGGGAACAAGAGAATATAAGAAGGAAAAACATTAGTCATGAGCGCCGAAAACAGAAATCTTAAAGTTTTGTTCGGATCACAATGGCATGGACATTTCGTTTTCCCTCATTCTTTTACAAGAATTCAAAGAGCTGAATATTAGGGATAGAGGCCTACTCTGTAACACCAAATATTTCTTTGATAATTAAGGAGCTATCCCTCGAACAGAACTCTGGAAGCTGCAAAAATTTCCCATGAAGATTATTAACATATTATACTCCAAAAACCCTGATTTTCCATGAAAATAACTAACCTACCAAACTAAAGGTAGAGAATTTCCAAAATAACCATGATGTATCATCATAAAATGCCTCAAGAACAATGGAGCTTTTGTGATTATCCGCAGATTTCCCAGAAAACTTTTATGCTCTTCTACAAATCTGGAGTTATACTGACGCAGCAAATTTAGTGTATAAATTTCCAGGACAAACACTAACTCACATCATGCTTCAGCAAAAGTTCAGAATCTGAGGCTATGATACCGAAATGACCCATTTCTGTGCACACAATTCATAGTTTTAATTCAACCAGTGGAGTGGCGTCACATGTTTCAGCCATAACCCTCACGCTTCTGACAAACATGTTTAACCACTCCAAGGAGCAGTTGGGGACATAATATTTTTTTTTTTGACAGCCCTCTCATCACAATATGCCAATCATGCAACCAAAACATGAAAAGGGGAATAGGTGGGGAATAAATATCCTTTGAATACAAAAGTTTCTCCAAGGTAGGAAAACTGGTAAGGCCCTATTTGGAAACTTCAACAAATATGTGCAATATTTTTTTTTTCTTATCAAAAGGTAGTTTTCCACCATGTCTGACTGGACGAAACCATAACTGGAAGAATACCACAATATTTCTTTCATGTGACTCTATACGAGTAAGATTTCTAGTGACAATACAGGAAAGAGAAAAGGCGGGTGAGAAAAACTGAAACATACAAAAAGTATGTCAAAGTTATCATTTTGAATGTTCAGTCCCTTACCTCTGACAGATAGAAAACCTTTCCAAACAGGGCTTGAACAGCTAATTTTCTCTTGAAACCTCTTTCAGTGTAGCCTGAAACATCCATTACAACTGGGCCTGGAAACCGAAAACACGTTGTCAGCAACTGATAGCAAAGTTTTGGAAGGAATTTTTCCAACTTTTCATGGTATGGTTTTGTTATAAGGTTAAACAGCCAATTAGTTTAATGTATTTTGAAAACACATGGATTAAAGAAACAGTACTACGCTAATAAGATGGACAACAACAACATCAATAGAGTAGTATTAGTTGAAAGAGCGTTTTTGGAGCGCACTAAAAGCATCCATCTTTGGTATCTCATAGGTAGGAGGAAGTGATCTACTTTCACAATGTGTCCTCGTCAGATTATATATGTTCCCATCGAAAAGGCGACGATATGTAATTAGACCAAACGGGGTTATGAAAGCAGTTGTTCGATGAGCCAGCTTACCTTTGTCTCGTACAATTCTTCTTGAAATTTCATTCAGAATTTCAGCGACTTGAGAGTCATCGAACATGGAAGATTTTCTGAGCTGAATTAAGTTGGAAACCACATCTGGGTTGAATGGATTTTCATTCAAAGTATACCGAATGTACTTTCGCAAAATTTCCTCCATGCCAAAACCAGTCTGGAAATTAATTAGCAGTGTGTTGTCAAACTCAAAATGGCAAAGTGTACCACAAATGAAAATTTATAAAAGGACACAGTACTCATTCAGTGGATAAATTTTTTATCAATGTCAGAAGAGATATACAGCTGAACTCGAAACTCGAAAGTGCTCCTCCAGAAAAACCATGAATCAAATTGAACGAATAAATAATTTTGAAGAATAAGACAGCAAACGCACTTGCTTGGTTCAGCAGTTAACAAAAGTGTAATCACGATATGGCAAATTATGACACTGCCTCTGAATTGCATATGTATTAGTTGTAGAAATGTCACCTTCTGCACAAGTTGGTTCAAGACATCGGGTTTGACTTCTGCACCATTCTGAAACAATTCGTCTATTGATTTGCATAGCATTGCATTTTTATTCACCTGTTTTGTTTGTCACAAGACAATTAATCAATCAATCAATTAGAAAATCATTCATAAACCCCAATAAACAGTTGACAGGAAAATAAGGAGAAGATGAAGAAGAAGACAATTGACCAGCTTCTTGCGTTTATG